TTAAAACGATACTATACAATCAATTGAGTGAGAATTTAAGATATATATATATCTACCTGTTTAAGTTGTTGTGCTATGCTACTAAGCATACGTTCAATATCATCAACCATAGCATTCATTTCATGTACTTCAATATCAGTTGATTGTCTTGGTGAACTAATAGAAGGTTTTGTTGTTGTTTTTTTTTAGATACTTATATTACAAAGAAAAAAAAAATATTTTCTTTTACTTTTGTGGTAAACGAAATGATTCCGTTGAACGTAAATGTTTACGTATACCATCAAGTTCATTTGTTGAACTATGAAAATAAAATAAAATACTAAATATAACAAATCTTGCAAAATATCTTTTACCAATATCAGACTTAACTGTATCCGAACAGAGAAGGTCATAATTTAAAGAGTGTTTCATAAGTTCTGAGCTTGAACGAAAATTAGTTTATATATAAACAAAGAGTGATCCCTACTCAACTATATCTATATGAGCTTCGAGTACTTAGAACAATGTTTTAAATGATATTATCTTTCTTTTAATAATAGAAGAAACATTATAATTAAAATCTTGAAATCGACCAGTATCATTTTCAATGATCAAAAACAACATCACATTTAATTTAGTAGACGCACGTGTTAATCTAACAACAAAAAACATATCTTATTTACTCGTTTTTTTTACAATCATCACAAGTTATTATGTTTTTTTTTTAGTTGTTTGAAACTTGAGAATTCTACTCATTGCACTTTTTCTTTTAATATTCTCCATACATTTTCAATAGGTCACATATATTCACCTTCAGGTGAAAATCTTGCAGTAAATAAATCATCAATAGTTTGTAATGCAATTGTTGTTCTATATTTTGAATCTTAATCGTTTTAGAATAGAACATTTTTTATATACACTTTTTTTTTTGATTTCTTTATAATCTACTTCTTTGATAATATTTGTCGAAGAAGTAATTTAGATACTATGTATCGCTTTATATAATTGTGTTATGTTACATACGATGAATATATAGTTCATTAAAATTTCTTAAAAATATACTGGTCGATTTTGAGATTTTAATTATAATGTTTCTTCTATTATTAAAAGAGATAATGTCATTTAAAACATCATCCTAAGTACTCGAATCTCATATAGATATAAGCATTATTAAAAAAATCATAGATTTGTTTATTCATTGTTCGAAAATCTTATCATTTATTGTATCTCTGTTTTTGTTTTTTATAAACAATTAGAACAAGATCGATTACAACTGAAAGAACTATTCCGAGACTACAAGAATATGTAGAAGAAAATTTAATTCAAATGTTTGTCGAACACGGAGAGTATATTCGATTGTTAAAATTGAGAAATTTTCTATTGCACAGAATTTAAAAATTACAACAAATGGTTTTCGATCATTTTTAGCCACTTTCAATTATTATTCGTATCCTTAAGGTGTTATAATGATTTCTAGCATAGAAATCAGTTCGTTTTTCCTTGATCTAGATATCATTTTAGTTTAAAAAATGCATGTACTTGTTAAGACATATCATTTATTTACCAATAAAAAGCTTTTATAGTGCACTTTTTCGTAGTTTCGCAAAAACATCAAATTTATCTAATCGCGTGTAAATTCGTTTTTTTTTGTTTGCTTTTGTAATAGGTTTGTATGAAGAATTTAAATAACGATTTGAATAGAGAAAATTGTTTCCAATAAGGTTATAAGGAAACAAAAATCTTCAAAATCCAAGATTTCTATAAAATAAAAAGCCTAGATTTTCACAGAGGCGCATAAAAAAAGTTTGTTTTGATAACGAGAAAACGATAGAACGGAACATTCTCAGTAACATGAGATATCCCCGAGCTCTCCATGATATTTTTTGCATCGAAAAGTCTTTCGGGCATTCCGTAAATTATATTTAGTTCACCGAAAAAAAAAATGTTATGAAGAGATCAGGATTGTCTCATATTTCTGAGAATGTTCTATTCTATCATTCTCCTGTTATCAAAATAAATTTTTTTATTATACAATTCTGCATGTTGAAAATTTAGACTTTTGTTTTCCTAAAAATCTTAGATGTAAGGAATATATCGAGAAAGCATTCTCTATCTAGCAAAAAGAATCAACTTCCTATCATTTTCTGTTCGAGTACAATTGTATCTAACACATTTATTTAAGAACTTTTGCAACATTCATTAAATTTACTGTTGAATATTTCGTTTAATATGATGAATACGTCTTAAGAGTTGATCACGTTGTTCTTGAAATTCTTTTGTAATCATCATATAAGCTTGTTCAACATCATGAACAGCTGTATTAGCCACAGATGATGAACGAGATAATTCTTCATATAAAGCATCTAATTAAGAACAATGGAGAAATTCATATTGTTGTGTTCAATGACTGACTATATTCATCATTATGATAAGTACTTACTAGTTCGTTGTTGAAGTGCACGAATACGTGCTTGTACTTGACGACGTTCATTTTTACTTGATGATAACGTTGTACTAGTGCTTATGCGTGATGTTGCCATTCTTTCTTTCTTTTTTTTTTATTTTCTATATTATGTTTGTTCTTATGTACCTTTTTTTTTTGTTAATGTCTGTCATACATAAACACATTTACCATGGATTTTTTTTCAAAGCAAAAAACGTTAGAAACGACAATTGACAACTTCTGAAGGGTGACAACCGTAACATTCACAATTTCTTTAAGTGATTTAACTGTTTTTCCGTTAAAAAGTGAATGAAGAAAAAAAAAATAACGATAGAAAAAAAAAACTTTTTCTTTTATTGTTAATATGAAAATTGTTATTTTATTATTGAATACAAAAAAACCAAAACATAAGAGATAATGTACTTGAACTTCCATTGAACCAATCTAAGAATAGCAATCTAAATTAAGTTATAAAAAGAAAATGAATGAATACCAAACTCTTCAGCTACTATTATCTTTATAGAGTGCAATTGAGGATAATTTCATTAGTTCAATATTTTCTTTCTTATGTTTAAACTATATGAATAACATTTTTGCAATAAATTTAAAATACCAAAATATTAAATGCATAGGAATATCTTACAATACTTTAAGAAATAAAGATTTGACAATTGTACGAATGTCGTGGAAAAAAAAATTCATTAATTATTCTCTGTAAAAGTTTTTTTTGTGAAATCAGCCAGTCAAGATTTAAACATCGTCTAAAGATAAATCATTTGGTCTTGTCTATAAAAATAATTTGAACAAGAATTTTTCTTTTTTTTTTATCTAGTGGTATTCAAAAGATTGATAATTCTTTTCACATATACAATAAGTACAAGTAGTCTCAATGATTTCTAGTTTCAATATTTATTTTATACGACGATTATTGATCTTTGGTATTATATCTATATGATTTCTTTGCATAAAAAATCTTTGCTTTTTATTTTAATATTCTAAAAGCTATACTTTCAGCATTTTTTATTTACACACATTTTAAGCACTGCACAATACTAAGTTACGCATCAATAATATTTCGTTCTGTAAATAGTAGGTCGTAATAATAAATACTTGCCTAGTCAAAATACTAGATAATGCATCAAAAAAAAAATACTTTTCTATTTCGTTCTTGCTCTTTCTATCGCTAATAGGTCTCATGAATAATACCTTTATCAACGTTATATAATAACCATGAAGGTTACAGTATATAACGTTATTTATCATGAAATAAGAGTAACAAAATGAAGCTGTTATCGCTATTAGTTATTTTTAGTAGTATTTTAGGTATGAGTTTAAGTACTCTCTAAATAAGATCTTTTTAGAGGTTTTTTTGATTTTAGCTGGTAAAGCAATAAGTGCCCTATTATGGAATGAAACTTATCCGAAAGGTGAAGTAATTCGATTGGGCGATTTTGATATATATTCAGTTGGAAAATCTAATGGTAATTTATCAATAATTGTCATATATGATATTCGTGGTTTTAATATAAGTCAAACACGTGTATTTTGTGATCGTCTTGCATCTGAATATTTTGTTCATATTGTTATGCCAGATTTTTTTCGTGGTACAGCAGCTCCAACAAATGGAAGTATGAGCACATGGTTAGCTGATGTTAGTAATTGGTCTAAAGTTTCAAATGATCTTAAAAATGTTGCCAATTGGTTAAATAAATCATTTTCAACAAATCGAATTGCTGTAATTGGATTTTGTTGGGGCGGTTTACAAGTTGTACGTGCTTGTTCAAATTTATCAACAATATTTTTTACAGGTATATCAATTCATGGTGCATCACTAACTTCCGATGAAGTTCGTCAATTACAACAACCAATGTTATTTATTGGTGCTGGTAGTGATCCACCATTACAACCGTATTTATCCGATGCAATTGAACAATCAAATTCTATTATAAGTAAACAATGTGAATATAAAACTTATTTGGATATGCGTCATGGATTTGTTGCTGCTAGTGCAAATTATTCAAATCCAGATAATGTTAAAGCTATTGATGACGTACATTTGACAGTGAGAAATTATCTTGATAAATTAACAAAAAATATATCTGTATCATTATCGATAAATTTTTATTTTCTATTAATACTTTTAATATTTGCTTTTCATTTACATTTATAAAAAGAAAAAAAAATTTACAATCACAGTAAAAAACAAAAAAAAAAGACAAAAGCATTTTTAAGGTGAAGATGATGAAGATGTTGAAATTGATGATGATGGTATAATTGATCGTGTTACAAGTCCAAGTTCCCATACTTTAATATCAATTAATTGATCTGATAATGGTAATGTTGATTTGACTGATGAAAACCATGATTGAAAATGTATTGGTATACGTGGATTACGTAATAAAAAATCATAAAACCATTCTGTTGAAATATTTTCTGTTAAAAGTTTATGAGAATAATTATCAAAAACAATTTCACAAGCACGACGTCGTGCCATTTGTTCTCCTGCTGTAAATGATCCATCAACTGATAATTGTGTAATTAATTCATTAGCTAAAGATTTTTCTTCTGTACGTGTTAATGGTGGTAAACCAAGTCGTATAGATTCAATTATTTTTGGAATTGATATATTTAATGATGATGATGATTCAGATTCATTAGATATAACCGATTCAGTATTTGTTGAATCTAATCGTTTAGTTAATCCTTCTGTTCGACTAGCATATGTTGTTGTTGTTGACTAAACAAAAAAAAATAACATAATATGTAACATTACAGTTATTTTTTTCTCTTTTATGCTTATCATACCGGTTCTGGTTTGACTTGATTTGTTACTGGTGTGTCTGAACTTATTTGAGGATCACAATCAATAGAAAAAAAACTAAATTCTGAGTGAGATTGATTAGTATCTTGTTTGCTCACTATTGCCTAAAATAATCGAACACAAAAAAAAAAGTTATCAAAAGAATTTTAGCAATAGGATTAGAAACGATATGAATCATACTTCATTATCTAATAGAAAAAATGTTAAGTACAAATTCAGGATCAGATTTCGTCTCACATTAGAGAATATAAGATTTCTACACATATCTAATCCGAATGTTTAAAAATGTAATTAGTTTAAATTCTCAATAGATAGGTCAGATAGAACCGACCTAGTAGAGATATAGATCAACATCAGTGTACTCTCTAATTGCAGTATTTTGTTTAATATTTAACAGAAATGAAAATTTATATTTCATTTGTCTTACATCATCATCTTCAATAACTTCAATTGAATCATCATCTTCATATATTTCTTCAAGTTCATCATTAACTGTATTTTGTTGTTTTGGTGGTAGTAGTTGTTGTTGTTGTTGTTGTTCATTTGGATGATGCTGTTCATATTCGGATGGTAAGGGACGTTTTAATGTAAGTGGTGGAATTCCAGGTACTGATGATGATGATTGTGATGGTATTAAATTATTTTTTGCATAAGGTCGTTTAAAAAGATGTACTTTATAAAAATGTTTTTGACAAAGTGAAGAACGAAATGCTAAATTTCGACATTCATATCCATCCGGTGATACACATAACGGTCGCCATTGTTTACCATCAAATTTATAACGTATACCACGTGAATTAACACGTATAGTATTTTTTAATGGATGTGCATGTGTTGATGGATGTTGTTGTTGTTGTTTACTTATCCAAAGAAGATCTTGTGCTAATGGATTATTTGTTGATGGTATAACTGACATAGATGATGATGGTGGAATTGACATACGTTTCATAGTTTCATTTAGAACTTGATGCATTCTAGAATAAATATCAAAAATAAGAAGTTTATAACAGATGACTTATCATTTTGTTCAAATATGAAAAGAAAAGAAAAAATTACTACATTAATGTCAAACAGTGCATTTGTAATGACGTGATGGCGTAAAAAAAAGAAAAAACATAATATGCGCAAATTACTAAAAATAAAAGAGTTCAACTCGTTGCCGAAAGACTTATAATTATATATGATTACGCTCAATAATTATCTTTGAATTTATTTCTTGACAAATCAAATTAAAATTTTTATTATATAGTTTTCTAGAAAATTCTTTTTCTTTTTTTTTTTGTTTTGTATAATGATCGATATTTGCTTACCATTGCATGATAGTAATAAAATGCAAATAGCAAAAAAAAGGAAAGAATGAATAAAAGAACAGATGCACTGAACTCTTTTTTTTTATTATTATTCAACTGAATACATTAGTGAATTCACAATGTATTTTAAGGTTTGAGTAGAATAAATAGAGAATTAATGAATATATAAATATATTTTACCCCTCCCCCCCCCTTATTTCACGCTCTTTACAATGATTGGATAGTTCAGAAAATTAATATTTTCTCGACATAAAAGAAAAAAAATATATAGATCGAAAGAAAAAGAATAAAAATAGAAACACGCGACAAAGTGCAAAATGTGACCTTTGCCCGAAGCTTCGTTCGGTCGTCGAATAAGAATGAGTATGGCTTATTCTCTTCTCTCATTCTCTTTCCACAACATTGCATCTAATCTCCATGACGACCAACATTTTATTTTTCTTTTTCTCATTCTCTTTTTCTAGCTCTGTCGTCACCCTAATCCTTACTTGAATGTATAAGTGTTTTTATAAGAGAAATCTCTATTTCTAGATGTAGGATATATAATAAGAAGTTTTTTATGAGGACGTCAAAGAATAAGAAAAGAGAAAAGATAAAAATCTCCTATTCGCCCATTTTCTAATGCATGCTACAAATTGTTTTACTGTCAGAGAGAAGTGGCAAATACTGTTAGTGCGTTCTTGTGCGTTTATTTGCACAACCCTCGTGGTTGAACGAGTGCAAATAAAAAAGAAAGAAGAAGGAAAATATAGGTCACTTCTTTTTATTCGAAGACATATCAATTTACTGAAGTTGCATGTTGCCTCGCTGAACTCTAACATCGTAAATACCTCGATTATAATTAAATTGAAAAAAAAAATTTTTTTTTTCTTACTTACTTTTTATAGGTTTTTGTTGAGTCTACCACTAACTCTATTTATTATACAAGCACTTGAATATATAAAAAAAAAATTGTAAAGAAAAAAACTCATTTACAAAACAGAAAAAGAAAAATCTTTTTCACTATAAAGGTTAACCGAACTCGCATATGCATAAAATTACTGATGTGTAGCGTTAAATACAACGCATAATCATGTACTATAAAGTAAAAAATTGAGACAGAATTATTCACTATTAAATAAATGACAGCCTTCAATTTCTTGCTACATCGATGCACTATTACAAAAAAAAAAGAAAAAGAAAAGAAAAGAACTGTGCTTACATGATAACCATAGGCCGTGCATTTTCAAAAGATTTAATGGAAACAAATGTGTTCTTTTTGTTCTATGTCTATTATATGATAATAGTTATACGATTTCCATATATAAAACTGACAGAGTTTCATATAATGTGTATTGTATATAATTAGAGTTAATTTAGTCATATTAAAAACAGTTTTATTTTCAAATTCTACTTCTTTTTTTTTTCTCCTTTATGAGACTCAGAATATTTTATATGCGTAAAATCTTATCGAAATATTGTCAATAGACCAAGAAACACTTACAAAATGGGTCGCTGAAATCATTTAGTATATTTACATAAGATCCTTGAGAAGTACTTATCAATCAATAGAAATTTACAAGTTATTACTTGTATGAAATAAAAGTTACCTTAATTGTAAGATTAAGAACATTAACTATTATTTCTTGTAGTTTCAAGAACATTTCAACTGTTGATATATGACAGACATTGTATAGATTGAAATTCTTATTTTACAAAACTATTGATAATTTAAAACAAATTATTTATACATATGATAAAATATATAATCAAGTATATTAAACTATTTTATGCATTTATTTAACATAATTCATCTCGAGAGAAGGTTTTTTTTTCTATGTTATTTATTCGTCGAATAATATATAACTAAAATATGAAATAAATTTATTTATAAATGATAGAAAATTGTTTGTGTAGTTGAAGTATATTTCATATTCTAGATAATTATGTAAATGTTTCTTTGAGAAGAATGAATAATGATATACGGAAGCTAATAAGAAATTCAAAAGGAAAATCTTCTTTTCTTTCTTTTTTTTTGTATTAAATAATATTTAGTTGTCAAGGAATAAGAAATTGATTTTCTTCTTTTTTTTCTCTCGAGAATGTTTCATTATGTTCATTCATATAAAAATCTCAAAGTCTTTCTATATACTTTCCTTTCAAGAATGCTTGATTCCGACATTTTTGTGATATATAATAAGCACTCATTGTCTTCATGTCTGCCTTTTTTTTATAGTAAAGTTCGATTATTTTTCGACAATCACTTCGTTTACAGTTGATTATCTGTCATGCAATAGTATTATAAATTCAATATATGCCAAAGAAGAATCTATAGAACTGTTTTATTAACCAGAACTTATTAATTGGTTGTAAACAACTGCAGATTGATTCTTGTTTTTTTTTGAAAGTCACATAGTTTACTTACGGGAGAGTTAGCATGAATGAATTTTGATGTGTGTGTGTATATTACATGAGTTACCTGATTCGAGTTCGAATATAAATGAAACTCTGAAAGGTAGATGCTATTACGAAAATAAATTCGAACTAGTAGTACATTAAGAAAAAAGTCAAAGAGAAAATTTTAGCTTTGGCTGTGGCTATGTAGATACCTATGAAATTTCGAAAATTTGACTTATTGTCGAACTTGAATTGGGCATTTACTCGTCAATCGACTATGCATTCTATAGTCTTTCTTTTGTAAAAATTCCAGCTCGAACGGTTGAAGTGTTACTGAATAATAACGTATAATGTTGTTTCAAAGGAGCATGAAAGTCATATAGTTATGTTACCATGTCTATTTAATGTTTCCTTAATATCTCGAGTTAGGAAAAACAACAATATAGCTTCTGACAGCTTGTAGAAAGAGCCACAAAACGAGATACTTTTCGATCTTTTTAGAAGTGACCTCAGCTGAATGTTTTCGAGAGAAAAAAATTTGTTGAAAAGCTTCGAAACACATATAAGTCGGCTCAGTTTTTTATGCTGATTTCAAACATGTTACTCATTTCCACAAAACTTCTACTTTTTCCAATCAATATTTGCTAAAAATCGATAAAAAAATGGTGTTTAAACGAAATTCAAGTCGTCTTATTTAACAAAAGCCACTTTTAAAAAGATTGAAAAGTATCTGATTTTATAGCTCTTCCTACAAGTTGCCAATGTCAATCAGAAACGCATGTTATTTTTTTCTCCTTTTTCGAGATATTAAGAAAACACTAAACAGAAATAGTAACATAACTATATGATTTTCATACCCATTTGAAACAATATTTACATGATGACTCAGTAACACTTCAATCATTCGAGCTGAAATTTTTACCAAAGAATGTCTATAGGATGAATAGTCAATTTACATAATTTTTAGTTTGAAATGTCTTACTATCGGAAAATGTATATATAAGCCATTCTTCCATGTACAAACGTGAATATCAATAATTTGAACCAAATGGATCTGAATCCTTCAGAAATCACATTATTTTATTACTAAACGATTCTTTGGGAAATTCTGTATTAGGTAAACCATGAATGGGAGGAAACAAATGATGCCTTCTACAAATATCCCTGGAAAGGCAATTAAGTACCAGTACTAGAGATATTGCACGAACACATACGACAACACCCATAGGTAGAGGTGTCAGCGTTTCACGTTCCTCAGCATTCCATTCCTAGGAACGGGAACGCCTATCAAAATCGCCTTTTCTAGTTTTGTTTCAATATGGCGACGATTGTAAACATATTTGCTCGTCTTTTTAAGTTAGAGTGTTTGGCATTCTCCATTTCCAAGAACGGGGAATGTACCTGGGTTCCCGTTCTATGGAACGCGACACCTGTTCCCTTTACTTTAATGGAAAGTTCCGAGTTCATCGACCAAAGGGCAACTTCCTAAAAATTACGAGTTTTTACAAAGTTTGACCACAGGTAATTGGGATCGAGGAATTTCAATTTGTAATCAGTTTCTCAAAACTTTGAGTTTCATTTTTTTCATCACTGAAAGAATTTCTTTCGAAAATAACGATATTTTTTATAAAGTTTGACTAAAAGGAGTCAGGATCAAGGAATCCGAATCTGTAATCAGTTTTTCACAATTTCGAGTTCGTTTTTCAAGAAAAAAAGTTATTTTTACAAAAAAAAGGCACTTTTTCCCAAAAAAACATATTTTAACAAAAACCTTTTGTTTTTTGTTAAAAACTAATCCTTTTCGAAAAAATTTATTTTTGACCAGCCCAAGCGTGATAGAATCACGTTTTGTCACGTTGCTTTTTCAATATCTCAATGAAATGAAGTCGGATAAGGCTGAAACATTTACAAGATATGTAAGTCTATTTTTCCTACACATACTGAAAGTTTCATCAGATTTCAAATTTCCATACGTAATTTTTGGTTGAAATATAGGTCGTGACGGAATCCCCAAAACTAGACTTGAATTTTGAGTGTTGTTCAAAGAATTAAAAAACTTAACTCAACTATAAATGTAATGAAAAAAGTTTCTCTAGCAAAGTTATAGCTCAGATGATGAGTTATATATACAAAGAAAGAAAATCTGAAAAATAAGCAATACTAAGTTTCTAGAGATAAAAAGGAGTTGTGAGGGAATTACATTTGAGAAATGATGATGTTTTTCAACTTTGATTTTCTGCAGAAATATAAAGATAGTTTCATAGAATAAACAATCTGATGTCATGCA